AAAAAAAAAAACAGATGTCACCTTTGGTATATATTAGTCAGTAGTAGCAGTTCTCTTTTGTTTTTGGAGAAACTCCACTTCCTCTGAAGATATGGTGTTCTTGACAGCTGGTACAGATTGTTCTTTCTGCCCATTTTGGATCTTAGACTAGATTTTCTTTAGCAACTTTGTTTATGTATCTAATTCTCAAGCAGAACTAGGAAAGGAAGATTGGTTCTCAAGGATTTCCTGATCACTTCAGGAATACATGGTTTTTCTAGATCATGTCATGTCCTGTTGAGCTAAATAGCTTTCCAGAATGAAACATTGTTTTAGAGACACCTTTGTTAGGGATAGAAACTCATAAATTTGAAAGAATGAACTTATTGGTAAGTACTGCTTCCCAGCTCTTAATGCCTTTTGTCTGGTTTCTTTTCCTCTGAATAGGTCACTGCAAATGACCTTCAGGAGAATATTACAAAATTAAACAATGGGATGGCCTTTATGATTAAACACTCCCAGAAACTTTTTAAGGTAGGTAAGGGGTGGCATTTGGTAACAGGACATAGGAAATGGAGCATGATGGGATCCTTAGCAGGGCAATAAAGATGACTGTGTAAGAAAGGTCCTGATGGGGACTGTAAACCAGACTGGACAGAAGCAAAACCCAGGGGAAGCAACCAAGGTGACAGGAATAGGAACAGGAATAACAGGTCCACTGGGCAATTGGCTCTACCCTCTGAGTCATTCTTCCTTTTTTATTCTTTTTTTTTTTTAATTGCACATCTTTACTTATTTATTTATTTTTTATTTTATTTTATTTTGCGGTTTCTGGCTGGGGCTGGGTTTGAACCTGCCACCTCCGGCATATGGGGCCGGTGCTCTACTCCTTTGAGCCACAGGCACCACCCATTCTTCCTTTTTTATGAAAGGCCACACCTGTTGTCAGCTGAGTGGTTTTATCCTGCTTGCTCCCTGCCAGTAGAATTTTTAGGGGGTAATGGCCTCTTTTCATTTTGTACTCTTTGTCTTGTTCAGTTCAAACAGGCAGTATTTCTGCCACCTTTATTTATTCATTTATTTTATTTTATTTTTTATTTACTGAGATAGAGTCTCATTTTGTCACCCTTGTTAAAATGCCATGGCTTCATAGCTAACAGCAACCTCAAACTCTTGAGTTTACGCAATTCTCTTGCCTCAGCCTCCCAAGTAGCTGGCAGTACAGGTGCCCACCACAATGCCCAGCTGAGGGAGGGACTGTTTTTAAAGTGACTTAACACACAGTTATTATCTTAAGAGTTCTGTAGGGCAGGAGCCTGACACGAGTCTCATTGAGCTAAAGTCAGGTATTAGCAGGGCTGTGTTCCTTTCCGATGTTCTTCAAAGACAGTCTGTCTACTTGCCTTTCCCAGCTTCTGGGGGGAGCCAACATTTCTTGCCTTGTGGACTTTTTTTTTTTTGAGACAGAGTCTTAGTACGTCCTCCGTAGAGGGCCATGGTTTCACAGGTCACAACAACCTCAAACTCCTGGGCTGAAGTGATTCTCTTGCCTCAGCCAAGTAGCTGAGACTACAGGCACCCACCACAATTCCTGGCTATTTTTTTGTTGCAATTGTCACTGTTGTTTAGCTGGCCCAGGCCGGGTTTGAATTTGCCAGCCTTGGTGTACATAGCTGGTGCCGTAACCACTGTGCTATGGATGACGAGCCTAGATTCAGTATTATAGAGCTTTCTCTTGTCTTCTTTTATTTTTTATTATACTTCAAATTTCAGATTTTAATGGCATTTATATGATTTGTTTTACCCTACAATATGCCTAAATTAGTTTATTAAAATAATACAACTGTTACTACTGATAGAAACATAAATAAACCTAATAAGATTTGCTTATGGTTCCTTTTCCCTTGAATATATCCACTAAGGATATATACTTAGAATACGGTTTTCAAAAGTTATGTGAAATAATGCCTTTCTCTGTGCTCATGTTATCAATTTGATATATAGATATGTTTATTTTTTTCTGTTTTTGTTAAGTTTAGAATTTGCCTTGTTTTTATTTTGTTATTTATTTATTTATTTATTTATTTATTGTCTTTAGAGATAGGCTCTCACTTTGTTGCCAAGGCTAGAGTGCAGTGGCCATAGCTCACTGCAACCTTGAGCTCCTGATCTTAAGCAGTCCTCCTTCTTTGGCCCCTGCAGTGTTAGGACTGTATCCGTTAATAATCCATAGAACCTATGATTACATTGGGCATTATAAAATAGTAATTTTCTAATTCTGTCAATTAAGTGCGAGCTGCCACCACACCTGGCCTATGTCACCACACCCACCACACATGTCATGTTTGATTTTTAAAATAGCGACAGCTACATTGGTATCTTTTTTTTTTTTGTGGAGACAGAGTTTCACTTTATCACCCTTGGTAGAGTGCTGTGGCGTCACACAGCTTCAGCAACCTCCAACTCCTGGGCTTAGGTGATTCCCTTGCCTCAGCCTCCCAAGTAGCTGGGACTACAGGTGTCCACCACATAGCCCAGCTATTTTTTTGTTGCAGTTTGGCCGGGGCTGGGTTTGAACCCGCCACCCTCAGTATATGGGGCCGGCACCCTGCCCACTGAGCCACAGGCACTGCCCAACATTGGTATCTTGTTAGTGTTTTCCTTTCAGATCTTTTTTTTTTT